GGCCGAGAACCCGCTTGTCTACTGCGACGGGCACGGCTGCAATGTCGCAGTGCATCAAGGTGAGTAGGCAGGCGAGTGCCAGCTCACCCGCTCTGGCCTCCAGCCTCGCTACTTCCTTCTTGATGCTCCCTATCCTCTTCTCTTGGGCCTGCTTCCTCCCTCTTGCCCCCCTTTGGCCGTTTTTCTACCCTTCTTCTCTCCCTCCCCCCTCCCAGCTCTTCCTTGTCACCCTTGAAGCCTATTTCCCTGTTTCTAGGGCCATGTGCTTTCTGGTCTGACCTGTCCTGTCATCCTCTATCCTTCCAGTCTGTCTGTCTTTTCCCTCATGTGAGACTTCCTCTATTATGATTTCCTATATTATGGCTACGAGGAAGGAAGAACCCCCCTTCCAGGGTTTTTTCCCTTGCTCCTCCTCTTGTACCTCTTTTGCGTTGATGCTTCCCAGTCCGCCTTTGCACCCTGTTAACAACCTCAGCTGCAGCAGTCCAAAGACTACCTAAAACTCCTTTCCTTCTCTGCGGAACTTCTTACTAATCTCTGTTCTGGCAATTGTTGCTGTATTTCTTTCTTCCTATACTCGATGCCTGTTGTCCCTGCCTTTCCCAAGTTAGAAAAAATTATTTGAGGGGCAGCCAGTAGATGAGAAGGGTTTAGGACTGGAAGGGAGCGGTGTGTAGGAAAGAGTTAGCTGTCATGTGATTTCTTCCTCTGCCTGCCTTTTCTTGAATGTCATTTGGCTGATGTTTCCTGGTAGATGAAAAGACTTCCTGTTGTGGATCTGCAGGGGGAGGGTGCTAGTCGGAATGGCTGATGCTGGATTTGTTTGGATTAGTGGAGGCTGGTTGGTTGGTTTCCAGCTCAGCTCAGGAGCTGGCATGTTCCCTCTATGTGTGATTGTTTTGTTTCTGTCAGTGGGTTGACCCTTCTTGTGAGAGCAGAGGGAGAGACTGGATTCTGCTGCTTACATTGTAAGAAAGGAAGTTATGATGACTTTTGGTTTGTGGTAGCAGAAATAAGGAATAAGATGGTAGTTTCTCCGTATCAACTCCCAAGCAGTCATACGAATTCCCTGGCTTGCTCTTTGGTGGTGAACAAATTGGAGGAGACAGAAAAACCTAAATCCAGTTCATTAGTCTGAATGCCTAGCGCATGTGAAAATACTACAAATGTGTGTTTCATGCTTGGTCTTAAATTGTGTTGAAGATGATATAGTAACTGCTTGTTTCAGGTATATGCTCTTTTGTAAACTGACAAGAAATAATGAGAAATAGTAATAATTTAAGGAGATCTGTAAAAGAACTCAGTTGTTCTTGTTAGTGTTGGATTGAACACAGAGGGAAGCTGACAGGATCTGTGAAATTAGTCTGATTTTGAATCAGTTTTCTGTTGTCTTAAGAGCTGAATAACGTTAACCAGTAACTTAACTCTGCTTTTGTGGAATCTGAGAGTCATGAAGAAGAACACTAAAACATGAATACTTTTAGAAGTCGTACCTGAACCAGCTATTACTTTTGTATTTTCTTGGGCATCTTTCTTTGCATCTAGAGCCTTGCTGATATTTTCAGTGAAAGAATTTGACAATAGCAATAGCTGAAATAGTGGGAACAACAGAAGTTTATTTTAGGAATTATTCCTAATATAGAGGCACACTTCAGTAAATTGGGTACAAGAATATTGAACTTATTTGTTTTTTTAAGGTGGGGTCCAAATCTGAATTTGAGTCTGGCAGGAAGTGTGCAAAGTACTGCTTCTTCTAAATCCAGATGCTGTTGTAGAGGTCTTAAGAGAAGAAGAATTGATTTACTGTATCATTGATGTTTTATGTTTTGGATTTGATGCGTCGTGTGAAGGTGGTAGAGGAAGCATGTCCACTGTTTTTGGAGTCTTTCTGTAGTAAAAGTAGTAGTCCTCATGGTTAAAGCTGGTAGTCCTTATTTGAAGTTCAGACAGCAGTATTACCCAGGAGACTTTATTAACTGCATTTTTGTTATTATAATTATTTTTAATTCAGAGGAAACTTCTTTTCAAGTGTTAAGCCATTGGCAAGTTTTGGAGGACAAAATCTCTTCATGTGTTTAAAGAAGCTTTGCATAGTAGTGGAGGCATAAGCCAAAGGAAGTCCTGGAAGTCAATAAACAGTATCACAGTGTATTAGAGCACAAACCCATGGTGGACTTTTTCAGACTCTAGGTGTACTCTGTTACGTTTGCAGATACAAAAGTACTTTGCTTCAACTTTGGTCTTTGCCCGACTCGTGTTGCCTTTGAATCTAATTGCCAGCCCTGTCTCTGAGTTGCGTTCTGTAATTAGTTTCTTACTCTGCGCTGTCTCTTGCTAATTTAAATGTGTGATTGCACATTGAAAGTCTCCCTCTTAATTTCTGAAGAGGAATTCAAAGTCCCCCTCATCTGTGGTTAATATAGATGCAATGAAAACAAGATGTTTTTTCTCATGTTAAAGAACGTTACTGTACAGTAGAAAGGGCTCATCAAGATAGGTCTGTCACTGCTTGGATAACATATTTGAAAATCTGACAATGGATCTTAATATGACTCCATGTATGTATATAATAGGAAATGATTTCATTGACTTTCCTTCGTAGAAGGAAAGGTGTATTAGCCAGACATTTTTTATACTACTATTGCATTACTGCTTTTTTTTTTTCTTTTTCAGGCTAGCACAAAACCAATAATATTTTTGTATATATACTAGAAAATACTAATTTAATCTCAGCTTTCCTCTTAACTATTAATTTATCTTTTTTTTTTTTTTTCTAGTTACACACTTAAACCAGATTTTCTTATTAAGTAACATATGATTGTTGGGAATCAAGATATTTAAAAATATGATGTCAGATTCAGGATTATATTTTTGAGGAAATTGTTTGGCTTTTTGATTGTTTGTTATTAGTTGTTAAACCCATACAGATACTAGAATATACTCACAGCACTTGTGTTCGTGTATTTTCATTCCCTCAGCAGTTCTTAAAGTTTCTTCATCTGTGCGTTTCAAACATGAACAGTACTGCCAAATTACTAAATTCTTTTTCTGTAGAATTTCTTATCAAACTCCTGTTTTTTTTTAATATACTATAAAAATTTAGATGACAGTCTTGCAGAGAAATCTGCATGTCTCAAAATCTCTTTCCTAAGGATTTATGTTGTAGCCTGGCTATTGTTGCAACTGATTCTAGCCCTGATGCTCAGTTTAGTTTATATTTACAGCTCCATATGAATTTTCAGGGGGGGAAAAAAGCAAACTTTGTATCTTTGTTCAGTTTATTATGGATTTCCTACTTAAGACCAGTTATTTTACTCATAAAGAGTAAGAGAACTTGATTATAACTAAGTGTATGAATGTCTTATGACAAACTCGGATTTGTTAGTTGCTTTTATTTTTCTCTTAAAAAAGACTTTACTGTAAGTGGATGTTTGTTATTGTGAAGTGTTTTACCTGTTTTACTAGTAAATAAATAGCAAAACAGATAACATATGAAACATTGCTGCTTTTGAATGGTTATACTACTTTTCAAGCTAATCAGTTTTTTTTTAATTTAAGGAATTTATTTAACAATTCTTGCATAAATTTTTAAGTGGAAGCTTGTACTTCATTTCGAGTACTATTGTGGTAGGATTTCATGTGCAATGTGTAGATGTCAGTTTGACTTATGAAAATGATGTGAGATCACCTAATACTAAGCTTTTTTATAACATTCATATTAGTAGTACTGTAGTGCTGCTTATGTTTGCTGAAATATTTTGTCTTGTTCAAAACAGCTTGCTATGGAATTGTTCAAGTACCCACTGGACCTTGGTTTTGCAGGAAGTGTGAATCTCAGGAAAGAGCAGCCAGAGTGGTATGTGCTTTGTTTATTAAGTAATGCTAGTTATAATGCTTGTGTGGATAATATTTACCCAAGAATCCCTGTAATAATGGAAAATAGCTTAGCTTTCTGTCATAATTCCATCTAGATGCTATTCAAAAGATCCATTTTAATTTTTTTTTATTTTAAGTGGAAATATGTAACTGTCTCTAAGTATTCTGACAATTTCTGTTGGGGGGAATGTGTGTGTTTGGGGTTTTTTTTTTTTTTTTTAGTTTTTTTTCCCAACTGTTTCAAAGATTATTTTCTGCTTATCTATGGTGTGGGTTTTATGTGATTTTTTCAGTTTAATACTTATATAGTTAGGTACGGGGAGGAAATTGAATCTGTGTCCAATTTTCTTTTACAGCAACTTTAGATTGCCAGTTGAAAGCTTCAGTCGAGGAACGCTTAAGCAATAAGTGGTGTTCTTAATTTCGTATTCTAATGCTTACTTGGAATGTGATACTTCTAACTGAAGAAATATTTTCTTTCTCTGTCTTTTTAGTTTTTTATGGTAAATATCGGGGATTTGGATAATCCTTCTGAACAACAACAAAAAACCCCAACACTTTTTTTTTCCTTGATTACATGAGGGTTTTTTTTGGTCAGATTTGTATGTTATTAGATCAAGCTGCATGGTATCAGCCATTTTTAGAAAAAGACAATCACTTTCTCGCTACTTGGCACTTTTTAGTTTGTGTTCCAGCAAAAGATAGAGTATTTAGAAAGACTAAGCTGTTCCTTGGCCTCTGAAACCATTTTTCATATAAAAACTGGAAGAGAAGGTGGTGTAGCATCTTAGGGCGGTATGTAAACTATTTCTAACTTTCCTAAAGACAAATGAAGAGCCTGAGACCAAATTTTCAGTTACTGTCGGTGACTGACAGAGTGTTTACATGAGCTGTTTGTTGTACCTATTTCCTTTTCTAATATAAAGTACTATAGAAATGGTAGGATGACTTAATGTTCTGTGAATTTTTGGCACAGGACTGAAAAATCTTGTTTCTCTACTTTTTCCTGACTTGCCACTAATGTTTTCATAATGTCCTAGTAACCTAGACTTTGTTACTCTCTCCAAAGCAGACCTGTTGGTGGGAGCAAGAACGGGTTGATTTCTATGTGCTCTCCAAATATTTGTCAACAGAAAATCAAAACTGCTGCCCTTTCTGAAGAAAGGCTGTTTCTTTCTTTTCCTGGGAAGACCATCAGCAATGTAAAGTTTTGAGAGTAACATTTTTTAATGTTGCTGAGTTTGATATATACAGGTTGGCAGCAAAGTTAAAAATATTGGGGGGGGGGAAAGAGAGGTGGTGGCAGGAAGGAGGATTTTTCTAGGGCATGATAGGGAATTCTCATGAGGATTTAGGATGTAGTTATTCCTGGCTTCTCCTGACACAAGGAATGAAGGAGAATGGTACTGAGTTCTAAAATAAACAATGTCTCACTGCATTCCAATAATTTCTTGAGTTTACCAAAAAGAATAGCTTTAATAGGCATTATACTGCTTTTGGTATTTGAAGTTAAGAAAGAATAGTGATGAACTTAACTGAATTCTCTGCCCGGTGTATTCTATTCTTGTTTCCACCTAACGGGGCCTGTTTACGGTACAGTTCAACAAGCTGATTACTGATCTTGTTTCAAAAAAAAAGAAAAATCCTTCCCATTTGTAATATAGCATATGTTTAAATGGTTCTCAAGTGAAACTAATTGCATGTGAGGTAGAACGGATTGGTTACAGCTGACGTTTTAACAACTACTTGTATGTTAGTGAGTTAGAAATATGGTGCCTGTCTCTGAAGTGTCTTGGAGAAGCCCTTAAAGTTCAAAAACTAAACTGAAGCTCTGACTTCAGTATGAAAACTGGAACTTTATTGTAACTAGTTTATCAGACTCAGAAGTTGTAATGCACTTTACTTGCAAAAGCAGACCTCCTTATCATCGCTGTAGGAGACTGAAGCTTAGTTTTCCTGTTGGCCTTTTTGTGTAAAAACAAAACCAGAATTAACCGTATTACATTGAACATGCTTCTACTTACTTACTTGCTTTTAATCTTTAATAAGACCTAAGCTGCTACATACGGCTTGTCAGTGAAAGCGGTGGCTGTTTTTTTTTTTCCAGCCACATAAGCCTCCTGGCTGGTTGACTTCTGCATTTTTGGTAGTGAGGGGGTAGCCAGTGTCTTGTGTTTTGAATGGTCAACTACTAGTTGGAAAGCACAGTTCCATACCTGACAAGCCATGCTGAGTCTTGGCTCTAGCAGGGTCATGTTTTTGTGTGTGAGAGAAACTGCGATTTTTGTAAACCTGAACTGTTTGGATAATGGACATATTGAGGTGTCTGGTAATTATTTGACTTACCCTATGGTCATGCATATGTAGTACATAATAAATAGAAGGTTGTAATCCCAGTATGCACTTTTTACAATCACTGCGTAAGTTCTTAACTATTGCTTGGAAAGTCTTAGTTTTCCCTAAATCAGCTAATTTATCTTAGCTGACCTATGGTGAGCTTGGAATGTGAATCTTTCCAAGAAGGGTGGCAACTGCTCCCAGCTTTGCCTCTGTCAGCACCAGCTGTTATTACCCTGCATAGTGGGCCCTTTTGATGTCTTCACATGTACCTGAACTTCTGAATCAAAAAACAGGGCAGATGCATGTTGATGTAGGAAGAAATAATATTAGGGTCTGTGTGAGAATGTATGTATATGGAGTAGTATGTAAAGGACTTTGGGTCCTGGCTTGGGAGATTGGATGGTGCATATATGTTGTCCAGGGGCTGATACTACTGGTACCCAAAGAGAGACTAGAGAAGCTAAGTTTAGGAATTGTAGCAAAACTGTGTTCAAAAAGACTTTTTTTTCCCCATCATCCTATTATGTGCCAAACATATTTCTTGATGATCTTATTTTGAGAATGATTTAATTATAGTATATAGTGGGGTATAAATAGACAATATGTTTATGGTTTACTACAAGCTATTTCTATTCGTGCTTATCATGAGGGAGCTGGAATAATCCACGTGATAGAGATACCAGGCAGCACAGAGGCATCCAACATTTGCACAAACGGTTAGCTTGGTCAGGCTTATTAGCTACGGGTAGATGCTGGTCCTTGTGAATCCAAGTTGATTCAAAGAGACCAGGAGATCTCAGTACTGAACTTCAGTGTTATGAATTCCAGAAAGTTTTACTACCTCAAACACAGCTCAGCTTCCACATGTGACGTCAGATTGCTTACAGCATTGCAAGTGAATTAATATGCTATTGATCTGTTTCACTGGAATATGTATATTATAAGCCTGTCATTGCATCTGGAAGAATCGGTTTGGACTTGGTACAAATTACTCTAACGTTGTAAAGGTGTTTTTTTTTTCCACTTGGCATTTTTGTGTTAGTCTTTTTTTGATAGGGGTGGCTTATGAAGTTGAATGCAGTACTGGCCCAGAACTGAGTCGGCACATTTGCATGACACTACAGCTGGTCTAATAAGCCACCTGGATTTTAGTCCCGGAGAATGTGTTGAGGGGGCTGTGACTCCCTGTGGAGTTAGCCACATAAGATTTGAGATAGTATTCATCTGGATCTCAGCTGAATCTAGCGTAACTGGAGCCTCTGCACTTGCACATGTGCTTCTTGGAATTTGGTGTGGAGACAGAAAGACTCTCATTGCAGAGTCAGTTTAGATCATACAGTACTTAATACTTAAGGATTCAGAGCTGTAGAAACACAGCTATACTGTTTACCTCTAGAGCCAGTTCAGGTACATTGTGCTCTCATAGTGATAGGTTCCTGCTAGTAATCCTGCCAGACCTGAGCTGTTCCTGCATCTGCTGCACAGATGATCCACAGTCTGAATGCTTGAGTTGTGGTGTGGTGTTTTTTTTTTTTTTTTTTTAAATCGTCAATATAACAATGGTTGTAATTCTCCTCTCCAAGTTCCCTTTTTTTAAAAAAATCTTTCATCACATGCATCTACAAGTTTGTTATTGTAGAGTTGCTCATAAGATGTATCCATAGTTTAACACCCCAGCATCAGCGTTCATGTAGTATAAAATAAACATAGGTATAGTATTACTTGCCTTTTGTCTAAAAAGAAGGAGGCAGAGGAGGAGGAAACAGGAAAGTAGGCTTTCGATATGCGGGTAGGTTTGTGATCAGAGCTCTGACAGCTCTGGCTCAACAGGCTGCCTCCAGGGGAATGGGATCTCTGTGCCTGTGCTTAGAATCAGTTTTGCTGTGGTTATTACACCTGTATCTGTAAACTGGAATGCACATTGATAAATATGGTCACAATAGAGGTGAATTAAACTTAATTTTAGAAGAAGAAAACTTGCTGTTTTCTTTTTTTCTTCAATTTGAAATACTGGCCACCAAATTATTCAGGACTAATATACTATGTGTTCTCTTTGAAGGTATCTCTTGAAATAATTCTTAAAGAAATTTTTGAAACGAATGTTTTTTTTAATGTGTATCTATAATTTTCCTTAAAGGACATTTTATATAAGAATATTACTACAACTACTTTTAAGAATACTATAAAAAGTAGTAGAAAAATTGCTTTAGTTTTGAGGATACAACAGAAAAAATGACCTGTGTGCTTTTGTTATTTATGTGGCTTTTACACAGCAGTAGAGTAGTAAACTTACAAATAAGAGTAAGAAAAGTGACTGTAAAATACAAATTGCTAGTAGATTTTTTTTATAAATATGAGAAACTACTACTTATTAAGAATATCCTCCTACTTCCCCCTTCTTCCCCCCCCCCCCCCCCAAAAAAAAAAACCCCAAACCCCAAAAAACCAAAAACCAAACCCCAACAACACAGTCATGTCTTTTATTAATGGCTATGCAGTTTGGAAGGCAGTGAATGTTTGGTTGTAGCTGGATAACTGGAATAAAAGGTCTGCCTGAAGATACTTAGGCACAGCATGTGAAACAACAACTTTTATTCTGAAATGCTATTGATTAAGTGATGTCTGTTTCTTGTCTGTTAC